GCAGCAGTTCGTTCGAACTGTTCTGATACTAGTTTTGTTCAAGGAGTCCTTTAAAATTATGAGCTGCTAGCAGTGTCATTTCAAGGCCACTTCTTTGAACTATTTTCCTGTTCCGAGAGTTTTTACGTAGTTCATTATAACGGTTTGAACAAAAAAAAAACAAAATTAATTTGTGATCGACTAGGATTGGATTATGCCTAGTAGGGAGCGGAACTTCGGGGAAAGCTAAAATTGCACACGCTTAGAAGAATGAAAATCGGTCGTGCATGCCGGTCTCTTTCTCCTTCCCCCTTTTCTTTGTAGGGTTGGTCCTAGCTGCTGAGTAAATACTGCTTTTCATGATCTTTATAAGGATCATAACAACCAAAGGTATGGTTTCAGATATGTTGCCCCCCCCCCGCCCACTTCCCCTTCAGTTCATGGACCCCTTGCAATATATTCCCAACAACTTACTCAACGCAGTCCCTAGGTTTCCGCGCTTCAATGAAAAGTGTGGAATGCTTTGTTGTACTTCGAGCGGTAAATGCCACGTGGAATTTCATGGCCTCCCGTTCAGAAGAAATAGGGAGTCGTGGTTTGTGTAGTGTAACGCCGAGATTTTTTTAAATGCGGATCTTGTGCATGCTCATGCACATCCATTTACAACACCATCTCTGGAGTGCTATTAACAAAGTTACTTATAAAAACTTAAAAAGGTGGATGCAAATAAGAGGAAATTTAACTGCTGTGGAGCGTTTTTGGATGGTTTCTCCGAATCCATTGTAACAAAGTACTGAGTGTTTACCTCTCCATTGCAGATGTGTTGTAGGGGCTACATCCCTATTTTAACACGTTGACGACATGCCCTTGTGCGCGAACCTACCCACCTTATTTTACAAATTTGCATTAACAGTTACTACATTATCAATAATTTCATTAGTGGTAACGAGAGAACTATTTTTCGTATCCAACAGTAGGGAGGGCCAGTCTTGAAACACGAAAATGGAGGCACAATTCAGGAAAAACACGTAACCTCGCCTTCGAAAGACCAGAAGTTGTGCAATTGCAGAAATTGACGTGGCATTGACGTGGCATCGATTCAAGAACATCGTTTAACCCTTTCCGGACCGCCTTACACACATGGTGTGTTAGGAACTTCAAGAGCTGATTTTTCCAAGAGTTTGGTTTTTCGATAAAATATTTTATGTTGTTACATACCTATGTAACAGACTCATGCCATATGTATGAAAAACCTAGACTTTAGGTTTAATCTAGGTTCTAAAATAACCAAAGAGTAAATGGACTTCCACTTCGGGCTCAAAGAAAACAGTTGTAGCTCGCTTAAAAACACTTAAAAACGAAGAATTAGTGAAATATCCTGCTCGTCGTATCTAATTCTTATGGATCCAATCGTTTTGGACACGTTCTACTCCATTTTTCTCCATACCAACTTATTTTGAACAATTTTCGTCCCTTCTCCCCTTTTTATGGCCCTTTCCCTTTTTTTGCAAAACAGTTTTCTGTCAAATTAATCTTATTTATTCTTCGAGACATGATAAAGACATAAACGAGACAAAATAATGGCTTTAGTGGGAATACATATTAAATATATGATATTTATGCTTGCCGCGCAGCATGCGGCCGTGAGCGCGAAAAGTGCGCGGTCCGGAAAGGGTTAAGCATACGTGATGTCACCTTGGATTTCTGGCTGCACGAAACAGAGGTTACTTCCGTGTGAAAGTGCGGGACGTGTGTGTCCCGCTGTCGTCAAAGTGTTAAAGAGGTGGTAGTACTTTGCACTTTCAGCAAACGCAATTCTAAGGGTTTAACCGATGTTATCCAGTTCAGAAGGTCTGTACATCTTAACAGAGATGATCAGAGCGTTTGAACTCTCATGAGTTACTCGGTCATTTATGTTGATAAATATAGTAAGGATAATAAGAAAGCTTCACAACAGCGTTCAGCCCAATTTTTTAATGCGCTGTTTGGATGCGCTCATTCTTTTCTCGAAGCACGAGTGACAGGTCATTGAGGAGGTGATGACCAATTCGCTGGAAGGGGTTAAAAACAAAGTTGGACGTTTCTGTAGCGGAGGTGAAGGAATGGAATTGGTAAAGAGCAACTACGAACCCAGTCGACTCTCCAGTAATTTGTTCAAATCTCATTTGAGCTGATCCTTCTTCATGTGTGCCACATGAACTTGGGGATGGGTTCACAGGGCACGTGGTGCGATGACAGGCGTTCGGTAGCGGTCCTACTGCATGAAAACGTTCGATAATTGATTCGATATGCAGAATGTTGTACACTTGATAATCGTTGGATCGACTGTTGAACTTATCGTCCGTACGACGTTTTTTCCGTTATCGTTTTTCCCAGATTTTTTTTTCCAAATGGAAATATCGCTGCTGTTCAGCTTTTTGCAGGGGCGCATGGCGATGAACGACATACTGCGTTCAATCTTGCCTTAGTTAATTATTTTCTTATTCCGTTGCTGCTTTAGTCTTTTGAGAACTTAATTCTTGCGGTCAAACTCACATTAAACAGGATTAATGTCTCTCCAGCGAGTCAATGCTGCGACACCCTCCGTCCAACCCCCCCCCTCCCCCTCCGATTTATGCCCTCGTATGACCTCTTTCGACAACGCACATGCGCTGTTGGATTGTTTTTTGTGTTGTGTCAGTTGTATATGTGAGATATGTATGTATGTATAATGTTGAATCTGAATATGCTATAATCGCCAGACAAGTGCCGAAATAATTGATTGCTATCAACGCGCTCCAAAGCGATGTTGTGCTTCGATGCCAAATGTTCAGTCACTTGTGAGTAAGGATGGAATATATGTTCCATAAGATATTTTAATTCACCCTCCAATGCGATTATCCATTTCAAGCCGAAATCTAATCGGATTTTCCTTGTTTTGATTATCTGGCGCTCTTCCGTGCATGAACTGCCCTCACATCTCAGCCTTCGGGAATGCTTCATCGTGAACGGCGTTGTGGGGAAGTTGTTATCAAGCAAAATCAAGTATTTTCTTGCCAGTTGTTCACCAAGTCGAAAGGCAAACTTCATTGTCATTACGAAGGCTCTTCTGATTTTTGTCTAGAATGTGCGCTGTGTGAGCTTCTTAGTATGGTAAAGATTTGTGAGATTAGTAAAGATGGCAAGTGAATCTTGGTGATACTATATATGTATTGCACAGAGATAAAGAGAGATCAATAAAAACAAACAAACTTGGTTCATTCTTCTCCTGAATCATCTTCGATTCAGTTCATCTCCTGTCCTAAGGTCTTATTTTCTTCGTTATGTTGCTCGTTTCTCCTCTATGACAAGGAAAAATATCTTTCAGAAGTTTTACCTTTCAGGGTCTTTGTCATAGGCTGCAGTTTGCAGTTGCGACAGGTTTGCTAGAGGACCTCTCTACAATAAGATTGGTGAGTCTAGTATAATCGTTTTTGGATGCTGTACAAACAGTGCATAATTTTGATCCAGTTGTCTTTTGAGAATTGGTTTTCCTTAATTATCGGACTGAGGTTGTCATACTTTAAGAAGAGGGAGTTAGAAGTAGAAAAAAAATGTTTAGGCACTACGCAAGATACGGGGGTGTTGTGGTGGCAATACATTTATCCTTTAAACAAGCGAACGCACTAAGTCGCATGAGCAATTTTCATTTTCTTCGGAGTTCTTGCCCCTTTTTAGGCTTAGCCCCAGCGGATACCCCGTAGCTTTGCTACAGCGCCCATTTCTACGTTGTGCATGGAACTTTTGGGATTTTCGGGATCTTCGTCGCCTTCGAGGGAGAGGGGGGGGGGGAGTAGCAGAGAAGAATTACATAGCACTGTTAGAGAAGGGAACCCATAAAAACCTGTGCTATCTTAAAGCTTTCAGGCAGTTAAAAAAACAAGACAGTGAAAACCTGTAATATCTGTACACAGAGGAAAAGATGATGGGGCTTCGGCCTTCATTACATTTTTTTGCGTGTTTTCTTTTGTTGGCAGCAATGGATTATGAGCGGTGTATTATTTTTTGCGTAATGTTTTCTAAAGTCTAATTATGTCACGAATTGCAAATGGTCATCCATGGTTTCTTTTTCAGTGGTTCCGCTTCTTGGGTTATACCATGTTTAAAATTTGGGAAGTATCGTAGAGAGATCAATAGTTTATTTCATAATTTCGCCAATAATCTATTGATATTTTATTGGTTTTTCAAACTTACGCTTTAGGGTACCATCTATTCCTCACCTACTTGTTCCACATCATAATAGGATCAAAGCAGGTTGGCGTTACTTTTTATTGTTTCATTACCAATATTTCTTCAGATTTTCTGAATGTTTCGAATGCCATGTTGTTTTTCCCTTATATAGCATTCCACTCACACCATTGGTGCTCATTTCCTTAGGTAGGACATTGAATTGAGTGGGCCACTCATAGAACTTGAGACCAACTTTTAGGGAGGGGAAAGGACCTGGGAGAGGATGCTGGCAACCACTGTTTCAACCCGGTGTTTATTCCTAGTCCTAGGCTTGGTCCTAGTCTCACACCAGCGGATTTGAGTGCTCTGTTTTGAATGCCCCTTACGGACATGACCGCCCACCTATTAGTTTAAAGCTGAACCAACACTTTTCTGATCATTGTAAGATTTCAACTTAGAAAAGTAATTGGAGAGCAAAAAAAATCTTTGCTGTTATAGACGTTTTCTTCGTAATTGTTTCCAAAGTGTTATTTTCAATATGTTCTGTTGGGTCAATTTTACCTCTATCGTTCACCTTTCCCAGCTTAACTATTGTTTGACTGTTCTCATGATAATTTCCTCCGGGATGTGGGAGTTCTGAGTTTTTTTTTTCGAAGATTACAACTTTATGAAATAGTTTTCTCATTCACTCCGAGATCGTCCTCCGTAATCCTCTCAAACCATTTTTTATTCGATCATTCATAGCAAACGGAATGTAAAGCAATATACTATTTTCTTAACTTTAAATCTGTACTCGTTATATTGTGAGACTCATTCAGTGAATGTTTAGGACAATGAATCGCGATTCGGTGATCAAAGCGCTGCATGCGACTACAACTCCGGAGGACGAGAAGAAAGCGGAAAATTTTCTAAATGAGGTGGGTATCAATTTTGACGTAGTTCCGAAGCATTAGGAGAGGTGGCAGTTGTAGAACTAGGTTGCGTCGGTCGGCACTACTCAATCGGAGTGTATGTTGCAGCGATTGGGCCCGCAAGATGTCGGGATCGAAAATCCCCGTCGTCGTACCACTACCTCATCGAGTGATGGTGCCGACTGGCGTAACTTGTGCGTACTCACGAACGATGATGGTGTCCCGGTGAACGAGCTTAACAAGACGGAAGAGACTACAAAACGTGATCATATTGCGTTACTTATGGATCGATGGCGCATCGCTGCACGTAAAGCGCGTAGAATAACGCAAGATCCATGGTCGCATTTTTTCATTTGCGATGTTCCTATTATGCGTGCTAAACGTTATCGTTATTCTTCTATTAGAAAAACGTGGACTGAAGATATAGTTGAAGTACGTCTTAACCCTGAACCATTTGCTCGTGGTGCTATGCGTGAATGCTATCGTTTGAAAAAACTTCCAACTAACAGTCACCAAAATGATTGGAAATATGCACACAATTACGTAGCCAAGCGATATATTCAAGAAGTGGATCGTTCCGTTCTATTCGAGGATGTCAAATTGCAGATGGACGCCAAACTTTGGGCTGAAGAATTCAATCGGTATAATCCTCCTAAAAAAATCGATATTGTGCAAATGTGTGTTTTGGAGATGATTGACTTGCCGTCTGGACCATTGTTCCATCTTGAACATTTCATTGAAGGTGACTACATCAAATATAATTCGAATTCTGGCTTCGTTTCCGATGTGGCACGTAAAACGCCTCAGGCCTTTTCTCATTTCACATTCGAACGATCCGGTCACCAAATGATTGTTGTTGATATCCAAGGTGTTGGAGATCTATACACTGATCCGCAGATCCATACAGTTGTTGGAACAGACTATGGTGATGGTAATCTGGGCACACGAGGAATGGCTTTATTCTTTCATTCTCACCTATGTAACGATATATGTCACTCGCTTTGCCTAACAGAATTCGACTTGTCTGATAAGGAGCGGTGTGCATTACACGATGGCTCGGCCGTGAATTCGTGCAATCAATCAACTGTTTTCTCTCGTCAAGCCAGTGCATGCTCGGCAATTGTCCCAGAATTGATTCAGGAGGATGCGATGGAATGCCTACGGCAACGCACGCTTTCGATGCGGAGTCGTAATTCATCGGTGGGCGGCTCAAGGGTGGAATCGCGTTCAGATGATGGAAAGTCACATGATGACGATTGTATCTGTGAAGACTGCCTGGCTCAAGCAACAGCTGATGTCTCTTGCGAAGCGTTCATCGATGTCGTAGATGATAACGTCGATGATGATGAGGACGTTAAAGCGTGCCCGATTCGGAAAGTCGGTTTTCACACTCTCAGCGTTGAGCGTTCTCGCTCTGACAGCTTTGGCAGCTCACTTGGATCGAGTTCGTTAGGAAGTTCGTCGAGAATGACCCGTGACACCGAGAAGGAGGAGTTCTGGTCCATCGCACGGAAGAAATCCATACCTGCTGGAATACTTTCTGCTATGGAATTGCAGAAGCTGGCGGCCGAAGCGTCAAGGCTTACGCAGCACGCATCAATTTTAGGCCAGATTCACCTGGACCTAGCACGATATCACGAGCTGGGGCGATTTCTGGCAGAAGAGGATAACGATGCCAAACGAATAGCGCTTGGCGAGACTGATGTGGAGAGGTGTTCAAAGGTACCAACAGTAAAATACGACAAGGAGTCTGCCCTTTTTCATCTTGACATCGCGAGACGTTGTGGAGTTTTGGAGGCAATTATCACCGTTGCTCAAATGGCTTTGAAGCTGCCTCATGATCTTTTGAAAGATATCGGTGACGATGAGATCTGGACGAAAGACGACGATGACGATGGTGATGGAATAGTTTGTGATCATGAAGAGTTCGCTTTCGAATTGATGTTAACAGCTGCTGAAATGGGTGACCGTGGCGCTATGCTGTTCGTTGCCGAATCTTATGAAACTGGACGGAGGATGGGCGCCAATGGACAGCCAAGTTACCCAGATGCGATCAAGTGGTATGAAAAACTTGTTGGCTTCAACGACGACGACGGCAGTGAAGGAGCGGCGCTGCCGCGGTATGAGGTTTTAGCAAAGATAGCACAGATGTACCAAGAAGGAGGATGTGGCCTTGCGCAGGATTTTGAACGTGCCTATAACTTGTACACGGAAGCTGCCGAAGTAGCTATAGAGGCGATGAAGGGAAAGTTAGCTAACAAATATTATGAGCAAGCGGAAATGTGTGCTCGTTAACAGTTTTTCTCCCCACTATCTTTCTTGAATGTCTATTGCATTTTGATGCTAAGCTATTTCATTATCGGGTAGAATATCATGACGTGCTCCATAATTCTCGCGTCTCTCTGGGAATACGGCTTCTTGTCGTTGTTTTACTTTGGATTGGATGTGTTTTCATGTAATTCAGAGACTGTTTGATGTACACCACCAATAAATTTGAAGATGTGATTACTTTTTAACCAGTTTTTTTTTCTCAAATTAACGAGCTTTTTCAACTTTTAATGAGCAGGAAAATCTTATGTGGAGTTTTTGAATAGCACCTAATATGAGCAGGGAGCAGAGTGCTGTCACGTATTCATGAAGTGTTGGATAGTAGAATTTTGATTTTTCAAGGTAAACAAGACAAGATGAACCTCAAATAGGTACCGTCTTGCGGCTTTGGAGTGAGAGAGAAGGGGAGGGAGCGAAGCATCAATCTTTGGGAACGGTCAACGATATACCCTCAATATCATGTTTCAGTGGGCGGGTACGGGTAGCTGGTCGTATTAGGTACCGGATATCTTAATGTCGTTTTTCTGAGTTTAGGATGTTTCGGGGCCAATTACCATGAGAAATCAGTTTCTCAGAACGTTCTCTTTGCTTATTAATACTACGTAACATGTTGCTTATTAGTCCCTAATGTTACTTTACAATTTATCTCTCCCCCAATTTGTATACCTTTTTCGGATAAAATTCTTTGGTTCATTGCGCAAATCGATGTGTGTACCAAATGCCATCAAAGTCGGGCTGGGAGCTACAGATCCGCCAACCAAACTAACATTGCTTGTTGAAGGAATACTACCGTTTGGAATGCTCAACGGTTCTCCCAGGTTTCCTTAAAAGACAGTGAAGTTTTTGAAAGGATGCCGGCAATCGTCTTCAAAAAGATGGCCTAGTTAAGCCAGCTGAGAAGGGCTGCACCAGACTTGGGGAAATGGTAGGATACTTTCACTCTGATGGAATGATGATGCGCAAACATTCCTATGGATTTGATTTCGCAAGATATTCTGATAAATGTGTTCACCTGCCCCTCATGCGCGCTCAAAAAGGGTGCGTTTTTTACCCTATGTTGCAAAAAAGTCTCCATAAAAACTGCCCACTTAGGCTGATAGGTTCTAATTTTTCTGTCGTGCAACAGACCATACGCTAACCAGCTGTACACTTACTTGTGCCAGGCCTTACTTTTAAGCAAGTAACAGGGATGAGTTATCAGAGGATGTCAAAACCGACCTGCCTCTACTTTTTAACTCAAAAAATTCCGAGCTTGGATCGTGCAAGGTTGCCACTCTAACCGTTAGATGAGGGAATCTAGTAAGTCATTTTATGATTAAACTAACTCCCTCCCCGGGTTTTGAACTGAAATATTGCTGGTCCAATACTCTTGGTTGAAAAAAACGACATTAAGATATCCGGTACCTAATATTTCTCCAGGTAAAGGTTGGATTTTTATTAGCGTATGGTTCCGCTATTTTCAGGATCATGTTTTTGGCACATCGGGAGTTAGGTGGAGGGACATCAGCAGGGTTTATTGTCCGTTTTCTTTTTGAGGGCGTGGTAGCTTTGCACATTCCAGCTTTCCACGCTCATCAAGTGACCTCATCGTCGCTCACTGGTCCCGCAACCCCCACTGTACCCCATTTTTTCATTTAATAATTCACCCTCCAAATATCGAAAAGTGAGATATTCAGTATGACTGATCGCCTAATTGACAGACCATGCTCTCCTTCATCGGTGTCATCATCAGTTCTCACCAAGCTTACCCGTGGGCTGCAAATAAGGGCAAATGCAGATGGGGTAGTGAAATATTTGCTATCGTGCATTTTCGGCGTCATATATCACTGGCGGTATTCGTTTGGCAGCTGCCACAATTGCCTGCAAATGAATGTGGTGGTGGAATGTAAGCTATGCGCTGCGGTGCGGTTTTGTAATTCACGGGGCGTTTTTGAAAAGAAATAAATAACAGTCATCGTAGTCGAAAGTAAATCTGTGTTTGAATCAGAAGCACTGTTGAATTTGTGAACTTTTCTCCTCCGTACGGGTACTAAGAACAATATCAAGTATGAACGTGTCAGCGGTGACTGTGTTATTGCTACAGAGTGGGCCAAAATTATGGTAACCGCGAGTGCGCGCGGTCAAACCTACTTCGGTCCGGATCCCTTTACTTTCCTCTTCCTTTTTGGGTGTAAGATGATAGAAGAATGTGTTTTTCCTACTGAAACTATCGTACAGCTCAAAAAATTAGTGGAACAACCACATTACGGCATAGCAACCCTCAAATTGAACCGTGAAGCGGCTCTGGCACGCTTCTAGCGTAAGTCCAACGTAACAAAAAACACTTATGGGTAGTAGTTGAACGTTTCAATGAATTTGAAAAAACATTGTAGGGAGAAGGAGGATGATAGAAGGTCACAATTACCCAGATGAAATATTAATTGCGAGAACGCGCTCTCTTCCTTGCCACTTCCACACCGCCAAAATGGTAAAGCTCATGTAAAAGGCCACTCGATGTTTTCGAAATGCGATTTCCCCATTAACAAGAAGAAAACATTGCTTCGATGTTCCAGCACACACCATTTTTACCCGTACCCCTATACAAGGTACCCAGTCGTAAAAATGCAAGGAGGGATTTTTTGAGAACTGGAACACATCAGGAGATTCAATTCCCTGGCTTTGCTTTGTGACAGTGGTGGCCAAAACTCCTTGAAGTTAGTTTGTTTCATTAGGCTAACGATTTTTCAGTGATACTATTGTTAATTTTGCGCACCCTTTATAGTGTGAACATTAACGACACGCCGTTGTTTGCGAATCTACCAATCTTTTCTGCAAGTGTTATCAGTCGTTCGTTCTTCACCAGTAATTTCACTATCGGTTGAGTGTATTATTAATTTTTCATACCTCGATAATGGATAGGGACAGCTTGGAAAAGAACGGAGGCACAAATGAGCACAATGAGTCTCCTCCATGCGCTTGCGTTAGTGTATTAACACGTTGGCGACAGCGTGGCGCGGTAGCGCGTCCCACTTTGCGCACCTCGTGGGACATTGTGACGCGGTAACGCGTCCCACCCGACTCATCCCTTTTTTGCGCTTGTGCGACTTATTCCTAAGGTCTTTGTACTCATTCTATAGGTCATACATTAGCATACTTAAAAACTACATGACTCTCAGAAAAGCCAGATATTTTTTAGTTTGGCAGAGGTTTTCCAGACCTTACGGATATGTCTGTTCAGTTCACTCCTCGTTTTCTTTTCATTAACGTAAACATGTTGGCGAAAAGGAATGGCAGAGGCGAATACAAACCTATTCGTACGGTAAATTATGTGTTTTTACTCAAACAACCGCGTCCAAATTAATTTTGGAACCACCAAAGGGGAAGTAGGTAAAATTTGCCTTTTCATGACCTTAACATGTCGTTTCGGTCGCTCCATTGCTGTAACTCCCGATGAGCTGGACAGATCGAACGTTATTCAAAACACTCCATCGCATCTGAGTGTCGCGTATTTACAGCTCAGAATCCATGGATTTGTTGTGCGGCGGCTGCGCTCACAACATCGCTCTGGTTCCACACGGTACAAAAACTCAAAGCGCGCGATGTCTTCAACGTGTTAATGCCAATGTTAGCTGGCTAAAAATGTGATATTTATCTACAATAATGACTACCCCTCCGACATAGACACCTGTGGAGTAAATTGTGTCAGGTGACAGGTGAACAATCGGCTTTTTATGTATAAGTCGGATGTAGGGTAGATTATTATTTCACGATAGCTTTAGACAAGATACTTCACTTTTGCGCGTGTATCTGCATTGTTTGCCATTACGTTTTGCTCTTGTTTGTTATTCTGTATAATAAATACCCCATAGCGCTTGTGGGTGAGGCAGATGTGGCAGATGAATATTGCTTGCAAGCAAGAATATTGGTCGCTTTATTTTCGCGCATTATTTGCGCCCGCCACACATGTGGTTTCATGCGCACCAGTTTACGAAGTAACGCCCATCTACTGTGCAGGGCAGGGAATAAAAAAATACAGAAAGTCGAAGAGAGAAAATTGAAACTAAAAAACGGAAATTATTGATGATGCTACATGATGCTATTTGTCAGCTAACAACAAGTATTTCGAAAGTTTTGATCATATTGTGAACGAGTTTTGAACTATGGATTGATTACTAACTTTTTTTTTCACACTCCTGAAAATTTGCTGGAACCGTTTGCATTCTTGATCTTGGAGTGACAGGACAGTGCATGTCTATGGCCTCCTTATTTTTAGCACTCTTTTATTTCACAGTAATCATGATACATAAAAGCGAACGGAAGTACAGGCTGTCCCATGAATATTGCACCACGTTTCTTAAATTGTAATTTCTCTCAAAATAAATGTAGCTCTAAGTGGTTGTACACAATCTTTATCCGTGCTTCCGCAGATTGTTAGGTGGCATTTGTTTCACATGGTTGTCTGTTTCTGTGAGTATTGCTCCCAGTTACTTCACACAACTCCTGTGGTTTGCAGGACATACTGGGGTGAGCTCTCCTAAACATTGCGGAGGAAGGGCTTCAAGTACTCGATGAGGATGTATTGTCCAGTGCAGGTTCTCTTCCTTAGTGCAGCTGTCATATATGGCTCACAACGTTGAAATTAAGAGATAGCAGGGCCACTTGTTTGAGAATTTGAAGACGGGAGGAGTAGCCTGACACCAGACCTGAACAATTTTCACCCCTAAAGCTTCGTGCTATTTGAAAGAAACGTCATTCTCCCTCAAAGTGGTTAGGTACCTTGGTAACAGTGATACTGAAATATTTGTTGGCTAGGTCTTGATACCGAGTTATTTCGTTTTCAACAAGGGCTGGTGAACGACCGGTGTTTGAGAGCCTGCCCAGACTATGATAGGGCAGGGTCATCCCTATCGTTGTTACTCTTTGGAAATTTTTTACGCCCCCCCCCCCTTCATGGGTGATTTGATACGATCCCCCCTGTATGCGACACTTGTGTAGCGACCGTGTTTACCGTCAATATTTATTTCTACGTAAGTCATCAAAGATGAAACTTTAGCAAAATCCACGACAGATATTCGTCGCTGCTTCCAAACACGAAAAAATGAGATGCATTTAACGATATCCGTGTACTCCAAAGGGTTACCAAACTAGGAGATGAAACAAACTGAACCAGTGACCGCAATATGACAATATTACCTGATAAAAGCTTATGACAAGTCAGAAAAAATTATCGCTCCAGTTGAGATACTGAAATCCTTCACGTTCTTCAATTGCAACACAATTTTTACACCCCTCCTTCTAAGGCTGTAACTTCCTTTTTCGAGCTTCTGCGCCAAAGTGATTCGATTTGGGAAATTCAAATTATTCTCTCTCCAACCATGGGTAAAAATTCTTCAAAACTTAATTTTATAAAAATTTAGTACGTTGTTACTTTTTTCTGTGCAAATGCGACCTTTTTACCCTTTGAACTTACGAGCACCGAAACGTTCCTGAAAAGTCAGCAGTTCAAAAATTAGTCCCGTTGTTACTTTTTTCTGTGGGGTAATCTTCGAGCCATTTTTCCGAAAACGTGGGTTTTCTTAGGTTTCACGGCCCGTAACTTCTTGGAAGACCAATGTCATGTTTAATTTAGGATGTGCTAGAAAGTTTCGAGCATGCGCTTGCACTACATCCATTGCCTTGGTGCGCGCCACGCCTCGGGCACCCCTCTAGTTCACTGATTTATTTGAAAGCTCATTCAGAGGGAAGCGTGGTTTATAGATGCTCTAGTATCAGTCATCTTACGAAAACGTAACGTGCTGCCTATTATCCGATATTACCAAGAATCCCACTGCCGGCCATCGAGAGAGTACGACCCCCTCCCCCCTCCCCCCTCCAAGCTCTATTGAGTACGACCCGGAACGGGTTATTACTCGTAACAGCGTAGGGTTGACCCTGTGACAGGGAAAGGCTGCTACTTGTAGAGAACGCTCCTTTCCTTTTATTGACCTCCTCAATACTTCATGCGAGCGCCCTCGAAATTTGAAGATTGCAACTTCGCTTCACGGAGAGGGCTTTATGTGCATGAAAACGTTTTCCACGTAGTCGCCTTTCCCGGTCCTTGGCACCAGCTCTTCACACTTTTTGTCTCTGCTGCGTTCCTTAGGTTCAATTAAGCTGTGGCACTTGTGCAGCTCATAAAGGATAAAACATAAATAAAGCATTTGCCGTTGATCAATCCCTTTTTGGGATGCGGTTCTACTTCCATGTGTACATTCGTAGTGGCGTTTGAATGCGATGTGGCCTATACAATGACTTGCGGGTGCCAGCCGATGTACAAGTCAGTGTTTTTATCCTCCCACACAAGCCTGGTACCAATTAACTCGACTCCGGAAGGATGGAAGGCTTGGTTGGCCCGGGCGACTCACGATCCAGGATTTGTTCCCCGGACCGCTCGCGTGGTAAGCGTGCCACTTGCCACCATACCATTTCCGCCCTGTCTCATATGCAGATGTTATCTGACCGCTCTTTACATGGTTATGCTTGGAAACTTCGGTGTTCTTGTCATCTTTTAAGCTTACCTGGGTATTGCGGTCGATTCGCTTCTCCAGGCTAACCCTGCGATTCAAGGTGGCGGAACCCAAGGGGCGGTCGAACTACGACGGCTACTTTTATGGAGCGATTGGGATTCCAAAACAACGTGATGTTCATTGTTAGAGGTCCAACACAGCTGAATGAAAAATTGGATCTTCTATTGAGGTTCAGGCGGGAATTCGGGTAGGCTATTCACAAGAGGTAATAATGCGAAGTAAAGGTGTGAAATTTTTCGGAGAAAAACTGCACTCTCACAGAATTGAAGCGCAAAATATGGTGCAATTTTTATGGGACACGCTTTATTTATTTGCCGCCTTTTGTGAACAATACTATTATTTTCAGTGCGCTAAACAACCGGGTTTTGTGCCAGAGTTGCTAAACATCATTGCCGATGGGACTGTTCCTGATCCTGTCCGTCAATCAGCTGCAATTTTTCTCAAAATGTCGATTAGTCGCTATTGGGAGGTATTCAAACGTTGTATAGCTGATGAGTGAGCTTGCATATTTGTTATTTTATAGGTTAGCGACGACGATGATTCAGAGGAAGATGCAGCTGAGCAGTGTTGCTTGTCTGATGAAGATAAAAATGCTGTCAAAGCCAATATTCTCAATACCATTTGTGAAGCCAATGAAGCGTCAAGGTGGCATTCATTTTTCATTTTTCAGTTCTTCTCAGAAAAAAGTGGCTGCGCTGTGCGTAGTGGGGTCAAGGTTTGGGGAAGTCGTTGCATGCGCGTTTGCGTTTTTGAAGGTTTTCATAATTTTTGAGGGAAGGGTCCCGAATCTCAATGCATGCGGGAGTGATTAGGTTTTGATGGCTAGGCACAGAGGCGACTGATCATGAGAATCGGCTTGAGAATACGTTGGCTCTGGACGGCATTATAAGAGAGCAGCTGCAGCTCGGTAAACTAAGTCATCTTCTCACAAATACTTTGATTTCTAGGTTCTGCAAGTATGTGGGTTTGTAATATGGGGGAATGGTCTAACATAAGAACCTTTGGTACACGGTTTTTGCAGCTTTTTGTTTTGTTAAGCCCTCAGTTAGAAGCAAGCGTTGGGATAAAATGGATGGAAGTGCGTTAGTAATGAAACTGGAATGAGAACGAGAGAAAGTAGCAAAGAAAGCAAGAAACCCACAATTAAACCGCAAGCGAGGCTTACCTCCTTTTCCAGCCGCATGCTACCGTGGGATAGAGAAGGGGCGCGTTAAACGAGTTTCACGACCCTATGTAGCTCTAGTTGCGCGCTTTTCAAGCAGCGTCACGGGGCAACGATAGCTGAAGGCGGGGCTTGTGCATGAAAGAGTGGATTGCGGGGCGAGCGAGCTTCCAGCGCATTTTTCATGCACTTCCATGCTGCTAAAGGAGGGCTTCATCAACGCAAGTTCGCTAGTGTACTAGGTACGGGTATGGAACTGGCGAGCATGCCTAATTCCAGAGCGTGCCTTCAAAGGAGGGTTCCACGATAAAAATGGAGGTGGAAGAAGGGGGCTGCCTACTGGGGGGGGGGGGAGGCGGACCTCTTGAGGATGCGGACTGACACTCGCAAATGGCAGTGAAATATTTGACTTCGGCGATCCAACATCGCTCACTCCTGGGGGAGTTGGCGCGGTACGCCTTCCGATTAACTAGTCACTCGCCGCAGGTCTATACGCGGCGAGTGATTGAACAGCAGAGAGAGCATTAGCACTGAAGAGGGCATAACGATGCAAGTCGCATCAATGCTGAAATCAACGGGCAAGGAAGGGGTCCTATTTCTCAGGTTCTGCGCCGTTTCTCATGGTTTTTCCTTCTTTCTTGTCCCACTTAACTTCCTTAACTTGATTTGGAATGGTTTGTTTTCTTATCGTGAATTCTGCCTTTAAGTTTCGAGCCTGAATCAAAAAATGCAATATTCCCACGTAAAGTAGAACTAACAAAAATCATTGTGTAAAGATAACGTTGGAACCGACGAAATTCTGTAGTTTTCATTTCCATTTTTACATTTCTGCGTATTGTTCTGTTTAACAATGGAGCTGTCACGAGTGCTCATTTGGAACGGCTTTTTACGGGTTCAACTGTATCAATATAAATTGAGCTAACAAAGAGAGAATGACAGGTCATTGTGGTTGTATGAAATGAGATGTGGGAGCTCATGCTTCAGGGTGAAGGGGACATTAAAAATAGGGCTCTTAAAACTGAAACTAGACAAGGACCAAAGAGGGGAGAAAGGTCAGGTAGCTTCCCCCTTCTTTTAACAACATGAGCCCCTGAGATCTATCTGAGGTCGCGTTTGACGCTGATTACAAACTGTTTCTGGTTGTGCTCCCAGGGTGGGGCAAAATTACTGGTGCACCTGTTGTTTTGAGCTTTTTAGATTCTTGTTGTGAACAATTCCTTTCCGTTCCCTCATATGTGTTGCTTGAACATATTGCTGCTAATACGCACTGTCAAACTGCACCAAAGCGCTGGGCTACCGCGTTTTTGTTTATTTCAAAATTCCAAACGTCGTTCAAATCGCGTTGAGAGTCGATCTTTGTTGAAAACGATCACCGTGCCATCGTCTGGGAGAGTTTCATCTGTGAATTTCGCAAAAGCTTCCGAGTACACTGACGAGTGCAGTCAAGGAACAGTATGCCGTTCAGATCCCCGACTTCACTAATTAGGACCAGTGGCTCTCCTGTTCTCCGGATTAGACCGATATATTTCCAAGTATGGGCTACCCTAAAGAAAAGAGAAAAGTCTACTCTATCAAAAACTCAAACGTGGACCCTCTCATAACTGCGGCTCAAGATCCCAGGACGAGATTGATGAAAAATCACTGGTACATGCGCATGCGATGCGTTCGCCAAGTTACAGTACTGGGAGGATAGATTCGATCATTTTGAAAACTGTTATTATGTGTCGGATTGTCGTCTTTTCTACAAATAATATTTATGGTTAGAATTGGTTAATGAAAGTTAGTCTGGAAATGCGAACGGAGTATTGGTGCTCAAATAATTTTGCCCCACCTTGTATACTAACAGATAGAGTGCTTATTGATCAGGGAAATTCGAATCCTCGCTGAAGGTGCTGCTTTGTGTTGACCAAAAAATGCTCTACCGGTGTTAACTTACAATTGTTATGGTTTCTTTGGGAATGCCGTTACGCTGTATTCATAGGGCAGGATTGTGGCAGTCGTTCAAAGCATATCAGATGGCTTACATTCCTATGGCCGCTTCAATCTACTATCTTGTCTTTGAGGCCCACAAAATTGTCGCAAGAGTAACGGACTTTTTACCAACAATGAACATTTCCATATGTATGTAGTGTTGCGTATTGCTTTTTTAAAAATGTGCCTTTATAAATAGCCTCGTGCAACAAATTGGCGCGTTTGAATTCGGTTTCAAGGTTATTTAGAGACCTAATAAGCCTAGTAGTGTGTGGAAGTGGTGCGATTAGAAAAGCAACCAATCCTATTTTGATACTATTATATTTTCAGAATCCAGTTATCGACTGCGATACAGAACATCGTTCGTATGGACTACCCTGATAAGTGGCCAGGTTTCATGGATCACCTTTTCACGAAAATCTCGAATCCAGCTAACGCATCCGTCTTATCTGCGGGTCTAATGGTTCTATACACAGTTGCCAAAGTTTACGAGTAATTTTTTTGCTACTTTTTCTGTTTTTAGAACTTTAGTGTTTTATTTTTATCCATGTTTTAAGGTTCAAACGAAGCAAGGATAAGGAAGTAATCGCTGGGCCTATTTCCAAAATCGAACCTCTCGTTTTCTACCATTGTAATCAAATGCTCAATAATCAATCTGCTGAAGCTGTTATTATCAAGAAGCAGGGATTGAAAATTATCTATGTATTGACCCAGGTTAGTTCCATCACTTTTGTTCCTGTATGACATCAGATGTCGTACTTTTCTTCTAGTTCTCCATTCATTTTGGAATGCTGCCGATCGAGAGGCTTGATGATTGGATTCAATTCTCAATAAGCAATCTTTCTCAAGAGTGCCCGAGTGAGGTATGATTTAGGCATGATCTTGACCATCTCATCACACATTTTTTTTCTGTTTTTAAGCTTAACAGTATTGAAGACAGAGAGGAGCGTGCTCATACAGTCTGGTGGAAATGCAAGAAATGGGCGATAAAGCTATTAGATCGCATTTTCGACAGGTATTCAGATTTGTGTCTGTGGTTAATGCTTTACAATTGATCCTATTCACAAATCTAACTCCATCGGCCAAGTGGACCCCGGTGCATTTTCGAGACTATTCCTTCTTTGTGGACTTAGCTAATCAGATTTCGTACGTGTTGTAAGAGCGAACGCTACCACGCTCCTACGACATGTAGGTGTCAACCTTTAGGTCGGCCCGTAGTTTTTGGGCCACCCTGGCTGGTTTCAAATTATTTTTTTTTACTTTTCTGATAATTCGTCGGAAGTAATATGCATCACCCCTACCCATAACTTTCTACCAGTGCGTAGGTAGCAACTCAATTCCTCTTGTATACCTTAGAATAATACTGTAGACGTGTGGTCAAAGAAAGAGTGGAAAGATGTTGTTTTTGAATTGTTAATTAGCTTAAGGTTTCTACTCAAGGAATTTAGCTAAGGAGCGCAACAAGTGGTAATTCACGGGCGCGAGGCCAGGGGTATGAGTTGAAAGAGAAATAACTTTTCACTCGGAAGTATTCAAGTTTTCAGTAATTTTTTGCCATGTAGCTCTGAACGGTCTCAGAAAAAAAGTGTTAGTCTTTCTTGCTTTTCTTTCGTCTTGAAATCGCTGCAATCATGCTGTCGACAGCTAATTTCGGCATTGGGTTTGGCACTAGAAGATGATAGTAATGCACATCTTCTTCAGTATTTCATCAAAAATCCGGATAATAATGATTGTACACGGTTGAATTTCCGCAGCAGGAACTTACAAGTCATTGGAGCTGGACTACTGGCGCATGTAGGATTATTTAGCGCACCATCTTTTTTCTACAGATCTCATGGAAGTTCTCATTATAGTCAGCTTGTCACTTCGGAAGGGTTCTGCCGAGCAACGGCTCAGCATTTATTAGCGGTGCATCGTTCCTCAGATTCTGCTCAGTAGCGTCACATAGAGCCTTTCCTGAGTTATGGGATTACCCGATGTTCGAGTCTTCTTTTGATATAAAAAGCAATCCCGAATAGAATGTAACAGCAGTGTAGCTGTCGTGGCTTGAGACAGCTTGCCCTTACCCATCTTGTGGTAGAACCTTTACTCCGTCTGGACTTAGGAAGGTACTCTAAGAGAATTAGGCACTGAAATGGGTCCTAGAAAAATTGAAGCCTCAGCTGAGAAAGGTGACCTGCTATTGCGCTGGCTAGCTCTTTAGATTGGTTGAAGTGGTTGATAGGCTGCTTTCATACTTTGCGCCGTTGCGGACGTTGCAGAGGTGCGGACCGTGCGGACAGTGCGGACAATGCGGTTGCGAAGAGCGTCAACACACGCACCGGCGCATTCGACCGATCAGTTTTAATTTTGTTACATTCTGTATGTTTTCAGGTGTTCTACGTGCCGTGTTTTTTACGTTGATGTTTTTCTAGCTCAAAACTTTCCCGTATGAGTTATTGTTTTTGCGCTATAATGAGCTCACCTGGGGGCCCACATCACTGCACGACGCTATCCGTTCAAGGACTATTGAAAACAATAATTCATGTGAAGAAGGAAAAGTTCCCATTAAAGCAACAGTTCAGGGAGGTTTCGCGGGAAAATTTCCAATGCCACTACTACTGAGAGATACACGAGCCCTGTGAAGAACTATGCAGTGGAAAATAATAAACGAACTTACCTCAGAAACTCGAAAACAGGGTGGGAAGTCCACCAAACATGGGTGTTCTTGGGGATTTCCCCAATCCCGCCCCTTGCCGGCCGTCATTGGACGCGTCGGCAGTCGTGCTCGTTTTGGGACCACAGGGAAAATTGATTGAAAAATGGAGCGCGTTTACAGCGGGCACGTTCAGACAACTCGTCCAACGTGCGTCTCTATCCATTGCTGAGCGGCAGAGGGAGAGTATCTGTCTAGACCCTCCCCGACGTTTTTTTTTCCAGTTTTTCATACATTAATCGACTGGTTTCATCTACAAGTTCATTATTGGTGGTTTTTTCCCGCGAAACCGTTCCTGAACTGTTGCTTTAAAAAAGCACGAGCTAAGACAACACGTCACATGGAACACCTGAAAAAATACCGAGTGTAGTGAGCTGGAATTACGATCAAAATTCGCTGACTGCACCTTTTGAGTGATAATATCAGTCTCATTACATTTCGTACTTTTTTGTACTCCGTGCGCATGATGACGCTCTTAACAGTATCTGCACTCACTGTTCGCACCGTCGGCAGTGTCTGCAAGGTCCGCAACAACGCGAGTATAAAATCAGCCTTACGGCTCCAAAAATTTTCTAGAAATTTTATGGCATCAAATAAAAGTGGCCCAGAAATAACAGACCGACCCAAAACTTGGTATAGGCTCCTTTTGGATTCAAAGCAGAAGATGCATTCCCTCAAAAATGGAATGTAGGCGGCATTGTGCTTATATATGCAAAGTGTTAAGCTGGTGGAGGGAAAGAGGATGTTGCCCTGTACACACGCTTCACGACAAGATATAAATAGGCATACGTCGTTGCTCGATCAAACATGGTGCTAGACCAGGGTCAAGCGAGGCGTCGAGGAAATTTCTGAAATATGGTCTTCCCTCTCCCCCCCCCCCCACCCCTCCCAGCTGCTGAAGCTTTTGAAATGACCCTCCTTTCAAGCCAAAGTAAGAAAAATTTGTTGATCTCCATCGAAAACCTTCCATCAAAAAAGCCATGCTACCCCACCCTCCATCATGAAAATCGTTCGACAAGTTGAAAAGGCCGAAGAAAAATCATTCGCAATGAATGCTTCCGACAAATGGAACAAAAAACGGCGAACTAGTCATGAAGAGAGCATGCTGTGACAGCTTCTCTTCCTCCTTTCTTTCCTTCCTTCCATAGCAAGCCATAGTATACACAGTGTATACTTCATAATCTACACGCCCACCGTTTGGTGAACAGAAACCTTATAAACAGCTTAGGCATGTGTGTGTCAATTGATCTCGGAACTGAAATGTCAGAATTAGGTTGATTAAGAGAAACATTCTCGAGTGCGAGTCTTTACAATTTCAAAACCGTAACTTCCCTAGAGGATTTGCTCTATAAACAATGATTGTAATGGTTTGGTTCGTTCAGTATTTCAAAAATGGCCCCATTGAGGATTTTAGCGCGAGCATCGCCAAATGGTTGAGCTGACTGCAACCCCTTTTCGGGTGGCTTCGTACAAAACTGAAAGCAGACTTGGAACCAACAGGTTTTTTTCAAGTACGCGGACCCCTTTGTACCATTAGAATTTTATCTGTACGGAATTACGCTGTTAGTGGAAATCCTCCGGCCAAGCTTGCAAACCCGATTACTCCTTGATGTTTGTCCTCCGACAGTAATGATCCTACTGCATCAATTTGACCCGACCCCTTCCTCCAGCGGGCCAAATACGACCCCTCCCCCACTCGTCAACCTGTCCAAGATTACTCAACACGCGTTTGACCTTGGTCATGATGCCAGCGCTCAACTATGAAGGAACCACCTCAGTGTCAGCGATGAATATGTTCACTTTCGAAATTACTTGTCGTCTCTTAGTTTATTTTTCATCAACGAATAACTTGATGCCCGCTTCGAACCTTCATCGGCAAGTCACCATCGTTGCCTTTACGGTGCTTACGGTACGATTCAGATTAAGCACATCAAATGCAAGCGGTTCAATTCGTCGAAACAGCTAAGTGGTCACTGGTTTCACTTTCGGGATCTACTGCTACTGATTTCACCGCTAATAGCTCTGCTTGAGAAAAACTGCGATAAGCGAGACATGTAGATAATGAGAACTGTAGAATGTGACTTGAAGGCACATTCCGCAATTACACAGTAATTGTGATTGCTCCCGAAAGTGGAGGTGATGCGCCAGTTGATTGGCTGGTAATGATAGAGGTGAAATCATTGTGCTAGGAAGAAAAAAGTTGTGCGAGTTTGTCGTAGGTGATGAATTTGCGGCCACTCTATCTTCTTTTTGGTAACTTTTACCTTTGTACGTATTTTACTGCACAAGGAGGTAGTCAGTCAACTTGAAGATAGGGGAATGACGCAGATCCGTCAATAAGACCAGTGCACAGAGTTGTTCGAAGTTTCGGCACTTTTCTGTTTCTTTCTGGGCACTTTCATTTTCTCTATAGTACTGGTCATAATTAAATCATTTGCTTCTGTTTTTGAGAGAAGTAACCAAACTTCTTTAATAACGCTTAGGCTGCTTATGTCCTACAAGGTTAGCCGTCGGCAAGACTCCGGGTGTAGGAGCTTGCGCCTCAGCGTGAGTTTCGTCGAAATAATGTCGTTTTCTTGTTTCTTGCTTTCGACGAATAAGAGGCGGTTTTGCGAATCGGTCTTCCATTTGTAGAGCATCTTTGTACAAGGTTGCTTCTGCGTGTATGGGGTTGTCCAGAAAATCCTGCGACACTTTGTCCAAGTTTTTCGATTGCACCTTCTTTTGTTTAATTAAATAATAAATCAGCTGAACTACCACACATACAATATAGGAGACGAGCACTTATCCCAGACAGCTTCTCAACTCTCTTACATTAAGATTTCGGCGTTTGAGTTGAAAAGAAGCGATTGATCCCATTTCCGAGTTAACCTCATTTATCGGATTTTTTAATTTCTAGATTACGCTTCACGGCATTAGTTATCTAAAAATTTGAAGCGGCTAAGCTCGGCGAGTAATCCAAGCACTGCGAACTTTCCCAATCAAAATCCATGATCTTTTGAAATGTAATCCTGTGTCACATGCAGGCATGCGAGGGGGTAGGGTAACACAATGTTGCGCATTTCTGGGTGAACTTTACGCATGGCTTCGGCCAAATTTTAAAGGTAGTAGGAGCCGACAATGACCATCACCGCGGTGTAAATATCCAGAGCTTTCTCTGAGCAATCAAATTGTAACCCCATCAAGAACACTAAAAAACCCTTCTCTAAGGAAGTTTCTGCAGACAGCTTCACTTTCAGTCGAATCCAATAGAGCTCATGTGTGCAGATTCCTTGATGCTTGAGCTATTTTCCTTGATCTTCATTTTTATCAAGAGAATCCTTTGGTTCGAAGAGAGAGGAGGAATCTCTACCATGGTCACTCACTTCGCCTACCCAGACTGGTGCAACCCATGTGGTTCCCATTGCGAACATGCTGCCCTGCAACCACGACCGTAAGGATTCTCGATAGCTGTCAATTAGTGCACCTCAGCGTTGTTGCTAACTCACGACTGGCAGCAATCGACTGTGCCTCTGGGAAGTTGAGAAAATGCTCGCCATTCGCCATATACAGCCGACCAGGGCAGTGCCTTACTTTGAGTCAAATAACTCCGGATGCGAAGTATGCAAGCAGAGTGGCTTCATAGTAGCTCTAGAAATAATGTACGCCAAATGATGGCTCAGTTCAGAGAGAAGTTTGGAGATGTAAAACGTTGTTTGGAACCTTCATATACGCTTCTACCGAAACCTCCGAAGACACACTACAGTAATCAAGTTCGAAAACGACTGAAAAGGTTTTTGATTTTTTCTAAAGTCATTTGTTCAAAGTGTCGCAAGATTTTCTGGACAACCCATTACGATGTAGTCTGAGTGATCGCCTGATACTTCTCGGTGGGGTACCGATTACCCAAGTCAAGTAGATATTTATTCAAGAAGAGTATGTTTTTAATCAGCTCAATGACGGTGTTGCTCTCACACGCTCAAAGAGACATTGGTTGTACGGATTTAGTAAAGTCTAACAACAACGATGATTCAAGGTAAGTGTGAGGCTGATTTCATAGTTTCGATGTAGTGCAGCGATGGGTAGGTACGGTAATCTGAGCACTTTAACGAATGCTGTGCTGCTTCATTACAACTAACGCAGCTTTCTCATAGAAGTTCACTTTATCTCCAAGCGTGCAGGTTCGCTTATGAGGCATGCACTTAACTTTTGTTTAGCGCCCTATGATTGAAAAATCTGATCTTCTGTATCGCTGCGAGTTGACGCGCATAGGCCCTGTGATTCCTCCAGGGCGGGACCCACTTTCGAAAACATATAATAATAGTAACAATGGTTAAATTTTCATGCGGGGTGAAAGTGGTGCAGTGGCATGTGGAGCCACACGCGCGATCCCGGGACAACAATGTGGGCGGAGCGTCGTCCCAGTCAACCAAGCCTCCTTCCTTTTGGGGTCCGTTAATTCATACCATACTCGTTTGGGAGGATAAAGAAACATTGATTCATACATCAACTGGCCCCGCAAGTCATTGTTTAGGCCAAATTGCGTCCGGATTGTCACTTCGATTCTGGATAAGGGTGGAGTGCGTGGCGCGTCCAAAAGCAGGGTTGCTAGGGAACGCTTTATCTTTAATCTTCAATTTTTCATGCATGTGTCCCAACGAAGTTTAGATGGATCATGTTGTTGCCCTGCCGTTTTCAAACCTCATTTTACGAGCACGAGTCTAGTTTCATAGTATTTTGTGTGTCAAAATGCAGTTGCCACATAAGCTGTCGTGCTAATCTGCAATCATCTGTGGCAGTTTTCTTTTGTTTTAGCTGTAGATGTATGTTGAATTCTCACAGTTTTTAGCTGGTTAATTGTCTTTTCCATTCCTTCTGTAGACTACAAATGTCGCAAATTTTAAAGTGTTGTGAACGTTTCGAAATGCAGGAAACTGCTGGACGTGCAGGCAGGAGTTTGCTAATGGAAAGTGTGCTTGAAAGATTTCCTGAAGTTTTTCATAGAATTTAGAGATTTCACTATTTTTTTTTTGTAAAAACTTCGGCATTCTAGCTGTTCTTATACCCCACTAAGTTTTACTCAGCTAAAGTTTTTCGTTTGAAATCAGACATTAATTAAGGTGGAGCTAGAGTGGGAACAGGACCTAGAGACTGGGTTAAGCCGTGTGCCCTAGCTGCAGGTAATCATATTAGCATTGGGGTTGCGTTAGCCCTGTTTGGGAGGGAGTAGGGTATCTACCGAGTTTCCTTGACATGTAGTACACCCTGGTATCTATTGTATTTATTTTTCTACCTTTGGTGTTTTCCGGTGGGCACCCCCCCCCCCATAGATTATGTTTATACAACCGTGAGTGCTAGTTATGGAATGTTGTCGAAAACACGCTATAGTGCGTTTGCGTTTCTAAAAATAACGATGGCTTCAAAATATCGGGCCAATTAAGGTGATCTAATGGAAACTTCGTTAAGAACCACGTCACCATCAGAATAAGGAGCAGACCTACAATCTTTTTTTGTTACAGTAATTAGAAATTTAGATATGGATCGCCTAACCAAGCTCCGACTAGTTACGTTATGTTTGCAAAGCATTTCTTGACAAAATGGTCAAGTCCCGCTCTCGAAGTCATCATGATACTTTTGAATGCACAACGAAACAGTGTGTACGTGTCAGACAGGGTGGGTCTATCTATATTCACATGTACTGCTACAATTTTTTACTACTACCTTTTGTTGTCGGTATTAATATAAAACTACTTAGAAAGTATGGGGTTGTTCGGAAAGTTTCCGCCGACTTCTACTCTCAAATTCAAAAGCGCATATCTCGATTCAAACAAAGCCTCTTCGCGCGAAATATAAATAGAAACAATCTCATACATTTGCCCATAGGAAATGAGTTTCACTGATCGGGATGTTGGAAGTGTTGGGGTTATGTGAGCTAAGAAACAGCGAAGGCCGTTTCACCTTCATGTTGGGTTTCAATGCTCGATCTCCTTAGGTAGACCTTGCAGATGATTGGAAAGTGAAAGTTGGTTGTCAGTAGATCTAGTGAACAAAATATTTGCAGCTCAATTTCGTAGGTCGGCTAGTTCAACTTGGAAGTCTGAGATGGAGCTGTGCAACAGTGGGCAGAAGAGCCGGCGGAACCCTTTTTTCTACTTCTTTGAGCTTTTTACTCTCACCGCTTGTTTGGAAATCTTATGTCGGCTACGCCCAATTCAAAAGCAGCCATTTTAAAAGTTTCATGCAGATTTGGCTCGGTCAAAACCCTCAGCTGATCTTGATCAGTCTCCGATATCACTGACCCCCTTCAAATCCTTGAACACTGCGAGAAAGACATTTTGAATCACGACTTACAGCGTATTTTTCGTGGACTCAGGACCAAATGCTATCGCAACTTGCGTCCGCGCATTTCCGAGCAAGTTTGAAGGGAATCACGAATCTAGTGCAAAGCGAGCGGTTGAGTATGTTGTATTCAATACTTCAAAAAATATGTAGAAAAGTGATTCAGGTTAAAAACAGTAGGTCTAGGTAGGAGGAGGAACGCGCTTTCGAACGATATATTGGGCTGTCTCATAATTTCTGTCTCAATTTCGACACTTTGTTTGTTCAAGTTTTATCTCTTCTCGGAAACAACTGGTCAATAGCATAACCAACATCATGGTCACTGATATGCGTGCATTTGCTAGTGAGCGTTTGGAAGCTTCCAGCCCAGAATGAAGGAAGCGGGGCGCGAAGAATTCGGAGAAGTCGTTTTTGCAGTGGTCGCAATCTTTAACTTTCTTCTCTGGCAGATGCTGGTTCAAAGCGCAGGGGAGGCGATAGTCCGATAGAGCAATGCCAACGCTTCATGGTGTATGAAGTATCATGGCTTGGCTATCTTCCTCAGAACGTGGTGAGTTGACATTGCAATGTGGGTCCGACGTTCACTTGGAGAAAGGAGAATTTAAGACGTTTCTGACGATTTCTTCGCAATACCGAAGCCAGACTAGAGCGTGATTTCACGCTGACCTTAGCAATAATTATCTTCATACATTGAAATGGTTCCCAAACCAGGCCCCCACCGAGTCCGGCAAACCGAGAGTGATGTGCTCAGAAAATGGAGTTCGAGCTTTGATTGAGCTGGTGCTGCCTGGCTGCGAGGTAGCGAGGTAAGCAAACTAGCCCTTTTGACGCTTCTGGTGGGGCCGTATGCTGAATGTTGGGGAGGGGATGAGGTCCCCAAGGTCGACGGACTATTTGAACTCGGTCGGTACAGTAGGAGAATGGTGACGAAGTGGTGCAGCTAGGTCCAGCAGCTTCTCCAAAAGGTTTGGTTGCTTACACAGGACTATGCTTGGAGAGGAGAGGACCTACGGACCTTTAGGGTTAGTCCTGAGGCGAGCATTAAATTGAGGCAGTTCTAAGACCGAGTTAAAGTAGTACGTCGACCGTCGGAGATCGATCCCTTCTCAACATTCAGTATGCAGCCCAGCAGAAAAGCCAAAAGGGGCTTTGCTTTTTCCGAGGAGGTACGCACCACACATGCCGTGTGTTGCTGTCGCAGAGGAGTCATGTCTCATCTCCTCTGGTGACCGATTAGGGAAGACTCTGCTTTTGCCGTACCAGAACAAATTTTCCCCAGAGTCAGGCGTGCTTCTCGCTCATGGTCGGCCGCACCATAAGGTTTTCATCAAAACTTCATTCTGCAGCAGTCCTTTCCATACTGATGGCGTGTGCTGGAGTATCGGCTTCACCTAGGTATCTGCTACAATACCCTGGTAGCAACGTCCGGAAGCACTCCTAGTTCATGGTCCAGGGGGCCCTTATCAAAGTTACCACAGACTCGGTATGAGGTTGAACTTTACAGCTCATTCCGTCTGTGCCGTTGCGATTGGACCGCTAGCTCAGTAATCCTTCAGTAGCAGAGACTGGGTCAAACACAGAGTTGATCCTCTCTGTTGTCCTCCTTGCAATTGGGTTTATTTGAGGATCGTAGAACATAATCATTCATTTTAGTCACTGACCTATTTTTATTCCTATTGATTAACCCTTTACGGACTTGCGCTTCCGAAACCACGCTGTTAAGGCTCTTGAAGCATATTTCATTAACTAACGTATTTCGCAATGAAATGGTTCTAAACGGAAGAAATTTAAAATTGAATAGGAATGGGACAGGAATCATGAGACAAGCCAATATAACATATCAGCAATTTCTCTAAAGTGACCCTGAAATAAAGCATTCAAAGGTGAGCTATAGAAACGGCGAAAACCTTTCGAACAGCCCATTAAGTAATGGGCTGATTGTAAACCTCATCATGAGTAAAATAGTATGCCAATCGGTAATGTGGTCGAGTTTTGTAAGGATGTATTTATTGACTTCATCACAAAGTACTTATGGAAGAAACTTGAGCTGGTCAGGGATCGCCTATCCCTATATGTATCCTCCCTAAACCGGAATGGGTTTCGAGCATTTGCTTTCCCGCATGGTCTTTTAAAAGGTAGCATATTTAGGCGTTTAAATGAAAGTATAATGAGAGCGTAACTTTGAAAGCCTTTTATGCCCGGTTTAGACGTATGTGATCTTTCGTGAGGATTTAACCGCGACGCTTCCAATCTTACTTGTAATTTTGCAGTTTTTCATGGATACACACTTGTTCCAGTTGCTTAAATGCTCACAAACGTACATCCCATGTTATTCCAGTTGAGTTATTGTTGGTTGGAGCTCATCCTCTCTAGCTCTTCTATCTGGTTTTTCCTACGCTGCGAAAGTGTTTTTGGGATGATTCCGATAATAATTTCTGCGATTCTCGTCAATTTTAAAATGTTGTTCTCGCAGGGCTTGCAAGACAACCTGCGCCCTTAAGGCAACGCAAGAGTCACCGAGAATGTCATTTGGATGCCCTGTATTTCCAAATTCGACTTCCAACAGATAATAGTTCTGTTCTATTCGTTGACGCTTTGTTTAAGGTTTTACACCATGCTCTCTCGTTTACACAGACTGCCGTGGCCCACTCATATTGTTGGAGAATTGTCAAACCTCATGCACTGGTAAGCATCTTTCCCAGTTGGATCTAGTGCATTCAGTGACTTTGCGTAAAGTTTTCTTGAATTGTGACGATAAATGAATATTTTAGGATCTGATCAGAAATGTACTGTTCCCGCTAATGTGTTATACTGACGAAGACGAAGAAATGTGGGAGGAAAATGTTGAGGAATTCATCAGGTTCAAATTTGGTGAGCAGGCGATTAGTTGGTTCTATCATAATGCGTATGTTATCTAAAAATCTCTTTTTAATGAAGCATGTTTGCTACAGTAGCAGTGGGAAGTATGTGGCCAATTTCAGTTCATTTTTCAAAACATTCGAGTATAAGTCGAAAGCTTCACGTCTCTCGATGTAAAGACTTACGGTGTTTATCAACAGTGAATGAGTGGAGGACTCATGTCGATTATAAGCATCACATGGCGCTTATTAACACATTGACGGCAGCGTGACGCGGTAACGCGTCCCACTTTGCGCGCCACGTCGGACATTGCGACGCGGTAATGGGTCCCATCCGAGTCATCTCTTTTCTATCTTGCGCGACTTCTTCCTGAGTTCTTTGTACGCATTCCATAGATAATTCATTAACATAACTATAAATGTTGTGATCCATGAAATGGTTAGATATGCTTCTGGGCAAAGGTTTCCTGAATCTTACATGCTCCTCAGTTATCTTAAAGCTTCGACTTTTATTCTTGAATAGGCAAGCGAATATAGTAGGTATAACAACAATTGTTTACAAGATACAAAACGCGAATAATAGTACTACGTATGGGGAGGTCTGCGTTTCTTATTGAGACATCCAATACAGAGGAATTATTCATCTACTGCAAACGTGTTTACTTTTCTTTTTTTTGCGGCCTCAGCGCGCCCGTATTCTTTATAAAATGTTGCTTAACATCCAGAACACCTTCTGTTATCCCCTCTCGAACAAGTATTTGCTCCACTTCATTTCGCGTGTAGCTGGACCGACGCGTCGAAAGGCAGTCACGCTCATACCACAGCAATGATGTGATCACCTCTAGTTTGATGTCATTCGATCTTGGTTGAATCTTTGTATGACCTCGTATACGTTGTATCTTGAACAACACCGCCTGACCCCTTATAGCTCCCATTGTGCCCTTGGTTTGTTTCATTCGGAGTTCTCTCCAAGAAACGCACCTCGCAGGACAACGGGAAAACCTCGGCCGTCAAATTGCTCTCCCACGTGGCCAAAAAAGCCAGAATGTCGTCAACGTGTTAATACTTTGCCGTTAGTTTATATAGACAGCCTCAGTTCTTTTCACCATGACTTCTTTGCTTCTCTAGTTCGTTCATGCACCGATCAGTTATAAAAAGCTGGAGACGAAAATTGTAGCCAGTGTAATTAGTCGCCCGATGGATTGCAGTCGGCTAATTACACTGTAATAAGGTTGTAAAGTATAAGTGCGCTGAAAATCTTTTGAAAATTATCAAAAGTTGAAGGAAAGATGGTGAAACATGATCCTTCAGAGGTTGATCACCTGTATCACCTGCGTTTTGTTGTTCATAAAGTTTCGGATGCCAAAAACTTCTCTATTCGCCCCTGTCGCAAGCCAGACAACTTCACTGAATTCTCCTGGGAGGTTCTTCGGGCATAAATGGGCATCAGAATATTTCTCACAAGCATCGTGTTCGCTAGGTCCAGGCTCAGCGGATACGCGACAGGAGGCCCGTCACGCGGCACCAAGGCAGAGTTGGCGGACGAGTCGCAGCGCCTGATGTGCGATGTAGGCCTTACTAATACATTCTATTTAACTTGACGCGAAATCACTAATTTACGCGCTGCGACTCTGCCTCGCCTTCTTGCCGCGCGACGGGCCTCTTGTCGTGTACGGCCAGGCTCAGCTGCGAGCGACCTTTCCACATGCGCTATCAAAATCAGCCAACATTCGCTCTGCAATATCGGCGTAAGAACGATGTCGTCATTTTCATTCATTTCATTCGAAGGATCACGGTCTACTCATTTATGCATAGTGGCAGTCGAAGCAGAATCACATCTTTTTTACCTCCATTGTCAACGTCTGGATAGTAGAGGTGGCCACAAACTTTTCATCGTTACTGTGTCTATAGATTGGTGTAATAGGTCGACGCAGCGTTATGCGATGCGTCGTTGTGGTTAAGATTCCCCAAAGTGATTCCCTCTGTGAACTTCGCAGCGTAGTAAGATTTCAGGCCGTAGTTCAGTGCGCGTTTTCTCGAGTCATTTTTTTTTTCGAAAGACTTGCTACGTTTTCGGATGGGTGTCTGTGCGCCTCGTTGTCTGGTTGCGTAGCAAGAGGTGATCGATGTGCCTCCACACGCTTCAAATTTCAGCGCCAAATTTGAACGCAGCTGCCTTGCTAAGGTCATTGTGCGAGATGGGTGTCCCCTAACAGGCCCACCGCGCGGCGAAGCAAGAGACGCAGATGCGTCAAAGAGACGAGTTGCAGCGCGTGCTCTGCGATATGAGACGTGGTATGGTACACTCTCTTCAACCTGACGGCTAACCACTACAGTATGCGCTGCGACTCATCCCTTTGCTGCTGCGTCTCTTACTTCGCCGTGCAGTGGGCCTGTTGGGGGACACCCGTGCGAGATGAACGCAACATAACTTCGGTGCCGTTATTTGGGTATGTGCCGTACGTTGTGCTCATTTGGCTGAATGACTTTATGGTCGCCAAGGCGCCCGTCGTTCGCCTTTATGGTACATTATATACTGCGACCACCTAAACTCTAACTTCACGGTGCAGAAACTATTAGTGAGTAGGAATCTAAACTGAAGGAAATATTTTTTGTAATCAGCTTATGTTAACTTTCGAGCTCACAAGGGTTGACACGTGAAGGCGTTGTTTTTTAAGCATATTTTCAGAAAAATTCAATCCCTTAACCCAAGTTTCTGTTTACGTAATGCAAACACATCGCTCGTGGCATTGGCTGGAGGGTATACAGGTTGATAAGCCCACCACTGTTAAAACTGAGTGAGGAAGAAGCGACGCTGGCGTGCTTGTCTTCTCTTCGCGATCCGTCGATGTAAAGTCATTGTGATGTGGCCAACACGCCTTCCTGCTCGCGTTACGGGTGAGCTTTCTTCCCTCCCCCCCCCCTCCCCCGAGAGGGGAAGGGGAGATGATGCATCCACCGACAGCCGATTATTATTCTGTAAGCAAAGCGTAGAGTAGGGAACATGAATGCTTCGTAGAGCATATCATACTCCTAGAGTTTTTGTTTTCTGAGAAGTCGCGCGTACCAAAGCAGAAGACGGCAGGACCCCTTATTTAAAGGACGAATTCACGCTGGAAAGGCAACTCATTTCAAATTAAGTTAGCGATGGTGAGTGGTACACTAAAGAAGGAAAAACCATGCGAAAGGGCCCAGAATCTGAGAAATGGGACCACTTCCTTGCCCGTTGATTTGAGCATTGATGCGACTATCATCGCTGTGCCCTCTTCAATGCTACGCTCTCTCACCTTCTTATCACTCACCACGTATAGACCTGCGGCGAGTGATCAGATGATCGGTGGGCGTGCACTGACCAGCCGCGGCGGGATTAAACCTTAATAGGTCAACGAGGTCAACTCCTCCTGTGCAAATTGTGCTTCAGTTCGCACACTTTGGAGCTCCGCGGGTCCCTCAACCAGGTGAATTCTTCCTAATTCGATTTTCCCTCTGATCGTGAATTCGTCCTTTAAACGCAAAGGTCGGGCTCAATATGGGGTATTATGGCAGTTGAAATTGAGTATGGAGATGTGACATGGAGCGATAGTGGAGAAATAACGAAGAGAAGCTGTTGCCGAGGCCGAAAACAAAACTCCCGCTCCCAGTAGCAGTGAATGAGGCTGGCTTGGGAGAAAGGCATTGCAAACGAGATTTCCGGACATGCCAGCTGTTCTATCGGTTGGTGCGGCGATCGACCTAGCTGATTTCACACGTGATGCCAGCCACGCCCCACTTCCGGAGGTGCGCGGGCATAGCTGATGCAAGCCAGCTATCGCTGTAAATAGTACGCCGGAGGCCTTGTCGCAGTGCCATCTCCGCGTTTCTACATTTCTACATTTTTACATTTCGAGGGAGACTAGACAGCGAAACGAGATCCGTTTGACGCGCGCCAATGCAAGAAGCTGCCCTTCAGCTCACACTTTAGCGGGACAGTTTCGTTCAAATTTGACACACAAATTTGAACTTCAAGTGGGCGCGATGCCAAAGGCCGATGTCATAGTTTGCGAATCGAGCGATTCGCTAGCGAATCGCTCGATTCGCAAACTATGTCATCGGCCACAGGGTGAACCTTTTCTAGATATGCCGCATTGCGTGAAGCAGTAGTGTGTGTTAGTTTTGGCTTGTTGAAGCATGGTTTTTCCTCCGCTTTCAATGTTTGCACACTCACTGCTTGCTTACAAACCTATTCCGTTTTCACCATGCATGGTTTCTGGCAGCTATCAAAACTAAAAGTACATTATGTACCAGGTGAATTTTAATGCCTCATTTAGCACAAGGGAGAATCTCAGGGAGACACAGAGCACATTTAAGTTTTGTTCACTAACACGAGAATTTTTTTTGAGAAGTGGTGAAGATAAAAATGACCGTGGGGGCAAACGATCCGCACTTTTCTGGTGATGATTCAGGAGTGTTCAATGGTAAGTTTTCTTGCATTTTTCGAAGGCGGAGTTTACAAAGCAGCCATTAGAAATGAACGTAGGGGAAGTGAGTGCTGCAGCGAAGAGAAAGCCATAAAGAACAGCTCAGAACCCGAGGAGTGGGACCCCTTTGCCTGTTGATCCCAGCATATAAACGGCCTTCGTCGATGTTGCCCACTCCAACGTTGACGCTCTCACTGCTAAATGGCAAGAGCGTTTGAAAGCAAGAGAGTGGGTGTGCGGCGACGCTAGAGGCGCGGAGACGGTCATGCTGTGTAGGTCGCTGAGAGCGATTCCTCGTTGCAAATCGCGTTCGGTTCGCATCCTTTGGTGGTCCGCCGCCTGTCTTTCCATCTGGTAGGTTTCCCCTTCTTCCACCTCCGACCTAATCGAGGAATCCGTCGAGCCGCTTACAAAAATTTGCCATTTGAACATTTCCTCAAGAAAAATCGCCTTTTTTGCGGACTAAGCAGAGTTGAATTTACAAGGGAAGGAAGAGACTTAGCCGCAATACGATGTCTTTTGGAAAAAGCCCACCGATACCATCATCTTTTTTATATTGCCTGAACGAAATGAAGTCTATGTGCTGATTAGTCAAGTGAAATG